CCCATGAGAAGTTCTCCTGCTACAAACAATGTTTAGAAGCAGCCTGAATAATTGGCTTCAATCCTGAAGAAATAGCTTGGCAATTCAGAGAGGATTCCCTCACTCATACTCTCAGTATCTCCTAATGTACAAACTGTTGGTTGGATGCTCATACACACTTGATGAGATTATGATTATTAAGCTGACTTCATTCTCATTGAAAATTGAAACTTTTCTGAACTATTTTACATAAGAAGACTAGATTAGGATTATAGGTTTTTTGGAGGAAGACCACAGAGACAAAATACCATTCTAATTTCTTTTCTTTTCCTTTTTTTGGTTTGTTTGTTTATTTTTTATTAATTTTTAAAAATTTATATATGATAGCGGAATGCATTACAATTCTTGTTACACATATAGAGCACAATTTTTCATATCTCTGCTTGTATACATAGTATATTCACACCAACTCGGGTCTTCATACATGTACTTTGGATAATGATGTCTATCACATTCCACAATCATTTCTAAACCCATACCCCCTCCCATCCCCTCCAACCCCTCTGCCCTATCTAGAGTTCCTCTATTCCTTCTGTGTTTCCCCTCCCTATCCCACTATGAATCAACCTCCTTATATCAGAGAAAACACTCAGCATTTGTTCTTTTGGGATTGGCTAACTTCACTTAGCATTATCTTCTCTAACTCCATCCATTTACCTGCAAATGGATTTTATTCTCTTTTATTGCTGAGTAATATTCTATTGTGTATATATGCCACATTTTTTTATCCACTCATCTATTGAAAGGCATCTAGGTTGGCTCCACAATTTAGCTAATGTGAATTGTGCTGCTATAAACATTGATGTAACTGTGTCCCTGTAGTATGCAGTTTTTATTACACTTGTCTCTGTTGATACTGTCCTTAATCCTGTGGCTCCAGGTGGTGTTTGTCAAGGCACTCCTCTGTAGAGCTCCTCTCCCTCCCTTCCATGTTGCACTCTGTGAAGAAAGTTACCATCTGCAGTCTGCCATTAAGAAATTGGAGTTTTGTTCCACTTCTTGAGGGTAGAGGAGCTACATATTTTACTTGGAATTCTTCTGTTATTATGAGTGTGGTCTCATGGAGCCTTTTTATATGATTGGGAACGAAAAGACCCAGAGCAATCTAAGGCAGAAGAAATAAATGCAGGTTTGTTCTTATTGTAGTAGCAGCAAGCTGCAGTTGAGAACTCTCCCTTTTTCTCTTACTAGGCAAGTGACATGTCTATGTGATTTCTATAATTTTAAAAAATATATACAAGAATAGGAGTTAGGATTTACATTTTAAAATAAGACACACATATTTGAGAGTTCTTCTCTTCTTACATATTCAGTGTCAAAAAATATTGGGAGCATGAGGCTCATCAGAATATAGCAAAGCTACAGAATCTGATTCTAAAGAATCAAAACCTTTGATCTTAAACTAAGGAGGCTGGCAAGAGGTTTTGTATATTACAAGACACAGTAGACATTCCAAAGTGGGGACAATTTGCTTCATTATTTCTGTAAAAAATATGTTCATTAATTATTTTGTAATTTCCCTTAAATTTTTTAAAAAGGGATGGCTTACTGTTCTTGTTCTGTGTTTTCCATCTAATGGGGAGGGAGCTTAGGCTATTCTGATTTGATGATTATAACCAAAAGTCATTCTTTGTGTTCAAACTTTGTTTATGCCAGTTATTCTTGTGTTTTAATTTACATATTTTACTTAAATACCAGGAAAACCTATATAATGGCATATGACATAGTCATGCCTATGAAAACTGAACTTGTTAAATATAATTTGCTACATAAGGTAAGAAATTGAAAGGGGTTAAAGATTTGGACAAAGGCTGTAAAATTATAGGAAGTTTACAATTTCAAATACTTTTTATCCAGTATTTAAATTTTTACTTTTCTTAGAAGCAAATCCTCAAACAGAAATCATAGACTTCACATTGTAAATAGGGTAAGCATACATTTTGGGATGCTTGAACTGTCTGTGTTATTATTGGTGACCTAGTGTCCCATCCAATTTAGCATTTTTTTTTTTTACTGAAGCAAAGTATTATCATTAGTGTTTCCATCAAATAAGCAAGGATGTTAATCTTCTATTTGTACTTGAGTTTCTATTGTGGTCTCTTTATGAGTGTGTGAACATATGCACTATATGTATCATGCATATAGTACATATGTTCTGTCTAGTAAAAATATTTGCTGAAGTAAGGTATACTGAATATAGGCCAAAATGCAATACTCTGAAAACATTGGGTTGAAATGTTTATAAATTTCTAAATGAAAATAATTACTTTCAAAGAGTGAGAATATTTTCTCAATTAAGAAGTGTAAGTACAGAGAAAAGTTCATTGAAGCTGTAAACGTTTAAAAATTGATCAACCTGAGTTGCGGCTGTGTCTAGCTGCCAGCGCTGCACAGCCACATCCAAGGAGAAGCCCAAGGAGGGTGTGAAGACAGAGAATGACCACATCAACCTGAAGTTGGTGGGGCAGGATGGCTCAATGGTGCAGTTCAAAATCAAGAGGCACACTCCACTGAGCAAGCTGATGAAGGCCTACTATGAGAGGCAGGGCTTGTCAATGAGACAGATTAGATTCAGGTTTGATGGGCAACCAATTAATGAAACAGACACTCCAGCCCAGCTGGAGATGGAGGTTGAGGACACCATCGACGTGTTTCAGAGGCGGATAGGAGGCATGGCCTCCAGAGGGACCATCCCACACCCTGCCATCCTCCTTGCATTTGTTGTTGAATGGTGAGTGACCAGGCTGATCACAGAGGAGTTTGAGAAAACCAAGGATAGTCACCGAAATGATCCTTCACACACTTCAAGTGCCCAAACACTCACACACTGCTGGTGGGACTGCAAATTGTTGCAACCACTATGGAAAGCAGTATGGAGAGTCCTCGGAAAATTGGGAATGGAACCACCATTTGAACCAGCTATCCCACTCCTCGATTTATACCCAAAGGACTTAAAATCAGCGTACTACAGAGACACAGCTACATCAATGTTTATAGCAGCTGAATTCACAATAGCTAGACTATGGAACCAACCTAGATGTCCTTCAATAGATGGATGTATAAAGA